AGGTATCTGCAACATTAAAGCGACAGTTTTAAGAAAAGTTGAGCTTATAATATTTATGCAACCATTTATTTTATTATATATTTTCAATGTTACAAACGTAAATATTTCCGCAATATTAAAGCGACAGAGTTGAGAAAAGTTACATTTCATAACATTGTTATAATATTTGCTTTACTTACATTTTATATTGTTTCAAAACTTTCAAATGTAATACATTGTATCTACTGCAACATTTACTTGATAACTAAAACGAATGTTTCTCTATTGAAGTTATATCAAATATATATTCCTTAACATAGGATAAGTAATATTTTAGAAAGCTTAACGTCACATTACGTAATAAATTTTCTAAAGTAAGGTCGATACAATATTGCTGACAAATTTTGCAACATTATAGTCAACCATCCAAGGACCTTTTTTTTCAGTTATACATGTAAACCCCATACTTTGTGAGTGGCTTGCTTACATCAAGTCCTACAACTTTTCCTCTACGACTTTTCTCGGAAATGGCACGTATGCGCGCAGGCGACTCGCAAACATTTTAGGGGTATCGGACTCCCCCAATTTGCCATTATTTTTGTCGGCCAAGTTGATTTCCGTGATTTAGAAATAAAAATCAAACATTATTCGTGAAATTAGATTTTCATGTATCAAGAAACATAACCACGTCAGATCGACATTTTGGGGGTATCGGACTCCCCCAATTTGCCATTATTTTTGTCGGCCAAGTTGATTTCCGTGATTTAGACATAAAAATCAAACAGTATTCGTAAAATTAAATTTACCTACATGTATCAGGAAACATAGCTACGTCAGATCGACATGTATGCGAGTCGCCTGCGCGCATACGTGCCATTTCCGAGAAAAGTCGTAGAGGAAAAGTTGTAGGACTTGATGTAGGCAAGCCACTCACAAAGTATGGGGTTTACATGTGTAACTGAAAAAAAAGGTCCTTGGATGGTTGACTATTACATGTTTAGTGGGATAAAAGGTGTACCTATGGATCCAATAGCCATTTACTATCCTCAACTTGTGTCGATACCCGGAATAGCAGACAAATAAAATAACCATCAGGATTCAGGATTTGGCTTAAGAAAAAACTAAACGAGAAACAAATCCTGGATAGTATCTAATTCTTTATTGGGTAAAGGTTTGTCAAAAAGAAATCATACCTTTTGCAAACATCCGCGGGCTTTACACTGATGATAACTTCTTAAAATAAAAATTCACACAAATAGTATATTGTTGTATTAGGAGTAGAAGCTTCTAGGTTCAGCTCGCAAATCTACCGCTTCAGCACAAAAAAGTGCTTCTAGTCCGTATGCAACACGCTATTTTTTCTCTAAACGAATGGGGTAGCACGCGGGGATAAGTGAATAGTTAAACGGCGCTGCGGTTGCCTAGCAGCACAGAAATTACATTTCTACCACCTCGACCAGGGATCCCAGATTTGATGCTCTGAGCCTATTATCGTGATATCGGTCGTGAAAAAATCGTGAGAAATCGTGAGATCGTAAAACGCATGCGCATTTTAGCGAAATTATTGTTTTAACTAGGGTTTTAGGTTTTTTGGTTTCTCCAGGACTATCTGAAGCACAAAATATTCAATTTGAATTATAACATAAACATAATTCAAAAAAAAAAACAAAAATTAATTACTTTCGTATTAAAAAATGACAACACTTGAAATATGGTTCAATTTTTTTATTTAAATTTTTTTTTTTTTTTTTTTTTTAACAATCCTTTATTCAAGCTTTATTGTACATAAATTTTACAAATAAATAGCATTCCATATTTTTCTTGCTTGAGTTAAAGGTAATCTCCTAAACAGTGCAAAAAGCACTGGTATCGGAATATTAAGTACTTTAACAAGGTGTTCGTTAATCTTAAATCTTAAATAGTAATCCATCACCTACTTACATAATAATTAACAAAGCAAAATATAGTGTATTGTTCACTTAAAGTAATTTTTTACATTCTTTACGAACCTATTTTTTGACTTTTCGTCTTTTAACCTTGTAGGAAGGGAATTGAAAGTTCTTGATGCCTCACTAATGGGATTTCGAAGTGCAATATTTGTTCTTACATCAGCCAGGTGGATGTCATTGCTATTTCTCAAGTTATAGTTATGAATCTGATTTGAGTGAATAATGGGTGTATTACATTTTAGTTTATTATTAATAATTGTATGCATTAATTTTGACTGCTCGATACTGAGGATCTGATTTAATGATTGCAGACCTAGCATTTCATATAACTCTTTAGTATGAGTGCGATAGTCAAGATTAAACAGTGTTTTAAGTATTTTATTCTGCAGAGTCTTGGTTTTTTCGAAATATGATATGCTGCAAGTACCCCATACTGGGATAAGGTATCTCATGACTGACAAAAAATATGCATTATAAATTTTATATTTAGCATTATTGCTTAAAAAATGTCTGCATCTACAAACAGCACCCATAAAAGAAACCAACTTATTTTTTATATGTTCAATATGTTCTGCCCATGTGAGGTTTTCATCAAGCACTAGCCCCAAATATTTAATACTGTCAACTCTCTGTAATTCTGAGTCTTTTATACTTATAATTATATTATTTACATGTTTATTTTTTTGTTTAAGTACCATATATTTTGTTTTTTCTATATTTAGCATTAATTTGTTATCTAACAGCCAATCATAATATCTATCCAAATCACCATTCGCTAATTCGACTAGATTATTCTGATCACTATCCGCATAAACCAGGACTGTATCGTCTGCAAAGGTGTAATACTGTCCGCTCAAACCTGCCAGTCTTAAGCTCAATACAAACAATGTGTAGAGGAGTGGACCCAGGACTGAACCCTGGGGAACTCCACAGTTATTTTTTATGACTGGACTTCTTTCATTGTTCAAATCTATATATTGTTGCCGATCTTGCAAGTACGTCTTAAGAAGCCGCAACATTACACCTCTGAAGCCCATGAGTCGCAACTTGTTCAACAACAGTTCATGGCTTACAACATCAAATGCCTTGCGCAGATCTATGAACACAGCTATTATTATATGTCCCTCATCAAGTTTAGTTGATACATGGTTTATGAGATCGACAGCAGCACTTAGAGTGCTACTGTTTTCCTGAAAACCATATTGGAATGGATCATGACCGACATATTTGGTTATAAAAGATAGCATTCTTAATTTAATAGCAGACTCCACAATTTTCGAAAATACACTTATCAAGGATATGGGTCTATAATTGTTCATTAGCTTTTTTGAACCAGATTTGTAAATAGGACAAATTTTAGCAATTTTTAATTCTGTAGGAAACTCTCCAGTTTCAAGTACTTTGTTTACTAACTTAACGATTAATTTAATTATAGAATTTTTAAGGGTTAGGAGATCTTTGACTAATATGTTATCATGGCCTGCAGCTGCGTCATGCTTAAGAGTAAGAAGTATCTTTTCAATTTCTTCCTCATTAGTTGTAGATAAAAATAAACTATTATTACTGTATACTTCAGGAAAAGTCATGTTGCTATTTACATAATTTTTTTCAGTCTCTACATCCCTGATAATATTGGACCCTATTTGTGAAAAATATGAGTTGAGAGAAGTTACAATGTCTTTGGTATTTGTTATGATACTTCCATCTATTTCCAATTCTTCAGTGAAACTTTCTTTTGAATTGCCTGTTATAAAGGAGTTAATGATGTTCCACTGTTTTCTTACATCATTTCCAGCCCTTTCCCATTTATTTTTGAAGTGCTGATTCTTAAGTGACTTTATTTTATTGTTGACATTGTTTTTTAGTCTTTTAAAGGAGAGAAAATTTAGAATATTATTTGGGTTTTGTTTATATTTTTTAAAAGCTTGGTTTTTTTCTTTTATTAATTGAAGTACTTCGTTATTTATCCATTCATTACCTTCATGACATTTAATTTGTATTATTGACTGTGATGCTTGTTTTGATTTATTTATAATATTTATTAGTTTCTGAAAAGAGTTTATATTAGAATTGACAAGATTTTCTTGAAAACTGCTTTTAAATTTTTCTGAGTTTAAGATACATTTTTGGTAAGTTACCTTTTTTTTGGAACACAAACGCTTTCGCGAGAAACTCCATGACGTCATATTGAACGTAGAGACGTCACAGAAGAACTATGGTTCGTCCATGCTTGGCTGAACTACATTCGTCGCGAAAATTCGTTTTATGTTATGTTGGCTAACTCCCCGAGCAGGACAAAACAAAAATAGACTTAGGGCCAAATTACAGTATATTTGCAATAATTTGCATTTGCAAATTAGCAGTTCTGCAAATATAGCCGACTTGCATATGTGCTCTATTTGTAGAAACGAGCAAATTACAGAAAAAATCTGCAATTTCCTTATATTTATCGGAAAAAAGTGTTTGGGCGCTACTGATTTACCTGTATTAAAGTATTAAATATCAAAGTTGTCAAAGTGATTGCAAGGACTTGCGGGACCGTTTCACCTCATTGGTTTCACCATGCGCAAATGCAGGCGACCTGCAAATGCATTCTGCTTCTGTAATACGAAAAGTCACACTTGCAAGTCCTCCATTTGTATCTTGGTGTTGCAGAGAGCTTCTGTAATTCCAGTTAGGCCCGTATTCATAGTCGATGCTCAAGGTTGCGTCTTGGCTCAAGTACGACTTGACGCCATATTTGCGTTTCCAAACACAGCACGGAACACCGTACACGGAACGATGCTCACAACCTGACAACTGTCAAAAATCGGAGCTTGAGCCAACCACCCGTCTATAGGTCTGTTCCCACAGGAGTTTCTGACAGTTTGCAAACTGTCGGTAAGCATCGCCCATGCATGTTTTCAATGCTGTCGTTACAAGATAAATCTGTAACTCAGCTGAGCGATTGTTTCTGACAGTTTGCAAACTATCAGAAACTCCTGTGGGAACAGACCTTATGAATACCGGGCTAGACCAAGCAGGGTACTGAACATTTACCAAAGCTTGCCGAAATCGCCTCTAAAGTTTTTTTTTTTTTAATTAACTGACAAATCACAGCCAGACCTATGCCAACCTTAACCTATGACTATAGTTGTATTCCTTTCAAGAGTTTGAAACACTCGAGCTACTCGCTCCGGTGTTCAGTCGCCCTCAATTTGCAGGGAACAGATGCGTGGTGCATCAAACACTTTTCGAAAGGAATAAGCGCGTGAAGCCCCGGAGCTGTTACAATAATAAAATAAATAAAATAATAAAATACAACTTATGATGTATCCTGTTATTTAGGTACACTATAGATTATTATTTTCTTTTGTATGTTCTAGTGCAGTGCTCATAAAACAATTTTTACGTACACTCATGGTGGGGAAAGAAAACACCTAAGGCAAACTACTTTGAAATGAAATCTGGCAACAGGGTTTTAACCTCACTTTTATTTTTTGTTTCACTTTCACCCTGAAGTTTCACAAATCTAATGTATATGTTTATGTTTGAATAACAAAATGCCCCAATTCTCCACACATGAAAACGTAAGCCTGGAAAAAGAAGTAGAAGTTAAAAGAGCAATAATCCAGACAAATTCTGATGTGATCGAAGAGGTCTACGACATAGCAAAATGTGTTGGATGGATCAGGGAAAATGGGTTTCAAAAGGTACATACATCGTAATTTGCCTTTTAGTTATATGAAAAGATTTTTTTAGGTGTGTTTGCAATTTCCTGATCATCTATTGCCAGACTCATCAGAAATAGCACTGAGACTACAGAATATTTTAGGAGAGACTGTGTATATCTTGGGAGATACGGCCTATGAAAGGTAAGTGCAAGTATTCGTATATGATAAACATATATCAAGAAGCGAACATTTGTAGCTGTTGCATCGATTATGTAGCTGCAGCTCACATAAACGCAGATGCCATAATCCATTTTGGACCTACTTGTTTTTCTAAAACTTCCGCAAATGTCCCTTATTTGAATGTGAATGAAAAACTACCTTTAAATGCTTTAGTTTTTGGGGCTGCTTTAAAAGATCATTTTGAATGTATTGGTACAGATTTTGTTGTTGTTTTGGATGATGGATATATACATCATTACGGTTTGTATACATGCAAAACTTGTATTAAGTTGCTATGAAAAATATTTGGTTTTAGATGATGTTTGCAGTGTACTACAGGGGCTTGAAGTAAAAAAAATTAATGAAGAAACATTAGATCTTATTGATAAAAATGTTATTTTTATAGGAAATAACCAAAGGAAATTAATGAATATTGATTTAAATTTTAAACGTAATAATTTTTATATAAATTATATTCCTGTTCTAAATTATCCTTTTTATTTTAGCCAAAACTCTTCATTATTTTGACCCAAACCAAAATCCACTTGCTTTCAAAAAATTTCAAGTTGATTCAAAAATAATTAAAAGAAGATACTTTCTTATGGAGAAAATAAGAGATGCCAATACTCTAGGCATCGTAATTGGCACTTTGGGAGTTGAAAACTACCTTAAAGTTATTGATAGGGTTAAAAAACTAGCCGAACTTTGTGGGAAAAAATATTACTTGATAAGTGTTGGAAAGCCTACAGTAGCTAAGTTGGCCAACATAGGAGAGGTAATTACGTTTAAGATTTCCAATAATTTATATACATTTTTCTGATTTCAGATAGACATTTACGTGATGATCACTTGTTCAATGAATGAAATATATGACAGCCGTGATTTTTATAAACCCATAGTAACTCCATTTGATGTAGAAATGGCTCTTAATCCTAATACTTCAGACATAAAATTTACCTATGACTTCAACAGATACTTAAATAATTTAAATGATATCACTAGCATAGCAAGAAACGAAAATGAAACCGATGTCAGTCTTTTAACAGGAAAATTGAGGTCTAACAGACCAGACTCTATCTCAGAAGAACCTGATAATAAAGATTTACAAATGGCACTAAAATCTGATGGATCGTTGGCATTGAATACCAATTTTGGTGCTGGATATCTCAGCGAAAGGTCATGGAAAGGATTAGAACAAAATTTGGGACAGACTGAAGTGAAGATGGCTGAGGAAGGACGGAAAGGGATTGCACAGGGTTATACCAATGAACAGATATAAATATTTTGTGTTAGAAATTAAACTATTAAATTTATTTTTTAATTTATCTTTTCTTATTTAATTTATTTAGGGCAAGTGCCTATTTAAGGTTCGATACCTGGATGAAGATACAGCATTATTGATAAAGATACTGACACGGGAGACTTGAGTGATAGTATCAACTCTTCTGTATAACTTGAAGGAGACCATCCCGGTTAATTTCCTGTGCATTGTGTGCAGATTTTTCTAAGTCATCCTCTTTGAATTCACAATTTTCTTTTGTTCTATTCCCAGCGCTAGGCTCTCTAAAATAATTCTGAGGTTTTTATATTGTTCTGGAGCCTTTCAAAATGCGGCTAGAATGTCTTTTGGGACATTCCTAATGGCTTATTAGAAGTTCTAAAATGTTCTAACCTGGCTTGAAGAGTTCTGGAGTATTTTAGAAGTGTTTCAGTAATTTCTTAATTGTTCTGACACATTTTTACGTAATTTTAGAGCCCTATATTGAAGCTCCAAAGGGTTCAAAAGAGTTCTAGAAGGTTTGAACTGTTTTGGATGCTTTTAAAGGTCTAAAGTTCTGTAGCAATCTAAATTCGCACTTAAAAGCCTTCGGAAAGGCGTTTTGTAACAAGGACTTTGTATGCCGGTGATATCAAAAGTAATGGAAAGAGTTCTGAACAATCACCTAACCAAGTACTTGGAAAAGTACAAAATTATCAACGATAAGCAATACGGATTTCGAAAATATAGATCAACTGGCGATTTACTTACATACGTCACTCACTTATGGCAAAAAGCGATTGAGTTGCGGGGTGAAACAAGAACAATTGCCTTAGATATATCTAAAGCATTCGACAAAGTTTGGCATGAAAATCTGCTCAACAAGCTCAAAGCAATGGGATTATCGCCGAAACTTTGCACTTGGTTTGAAAGTTACCTAAAGGACAGATCCATTTATGTTGCACTGGATGGCCAGAACTCCAACTCTTACCAAATAAATGCTGGTGTGCCACAGGGAGCAATCCTTTCGCCAACTCTTTTCCTGATTTACATAAATGACCTCATAGATAAAACAGTAAATCCACTTTATTGCTTTGCAGACGATGGCAATGTAGTCTCCTCACTCATACCACCCACAGGTCTTTCCGCACGTGAATTCCATCATCTTAGACTAACTCAAATATCGCAGATAAATAACGACCTGGAGATAATAGAGGACTGGGGTAACAAAAACTTTGTACAGTTCAACGCACAGAAAACCCAAGCAGCTCTGTTTTCAAAAAAGAACACCACCGGTGAGCCAAACATCATGCTATCTGGAAGTGCTGTCACATTACAGAGTCAGTTGAACATCTTGGGGGTTACTGCAGAGACCAACATGTCTTGGCACAGTCACGTGGCAGATATTGCTAAAAGGGCCTCCCAAAAGCTGGGGGTGCTATTTCGTACAAGACATCTGTACACACCAAGCCAATTGCTGACACTCTACAAAGCCCAGATTCGACCAACTATGGAGTACTGCTCACATATATGGAGTGCAGCACCCAAACATACCTTAATGCTTTTGAATACCGTGCAAAAACGAGCTATCAAGTTGATCAATGACCCCGCACTTACTCGTAACTTGGATGGTCTCGAACATCGCAGATCTGTGGGCGATTTATCTCTCTTCTACAGGTACTATCACGGAAAATGCTCTGAAGAGTTGGCACGTATGATTCCACCGAGAGTAGCACCTACCAGGCGAACCCGTCAAACAGACGGTAACCATGAATTTACTGTCAAACTAGAGGCACCAAGCACCTCATTATATCAGAATTCATATCTCTGGAGAACAGCATCGCTGTGGAATAAACTCCCTGCGACGGTTTTCCCTGCAGGTTACAACCTGAACCGTTTCAAGACCAACATACACCGACATCTCCGCGCACTTGCCGCTTCTCGAGCGTGATAGGACATTTCCTTGCGAATGCGCATATCCGTAAAAAAAAAAAAAAAAAAAAAAAAAATGCTGTCTGGGTAGGTATCATGTCGAGTAAATGTATATTAGATTTCAAATCAAATCAAAATATGCTTTATTGTTTAAAGATACAAATCTTGATAACAAAGCTTCCAAATATAATTAAAATTGAAATCATCAACAAAGTAGGTACGTAAAAATAAAGATAATAAACAGCAATAAAATAGGAATAAAAACAACTGGATAAAATAGATCGAAAGACTGCTCAACATTAAAATTAAAAACAAACTTAAAATTATTGACCATTAAACAGATGAGATGAGAAGTATTCCTCTACAGAGTAAAAACCCTTAGCCAGAAGTAATTTTTTGACTTGTCTCTTGAAACATCTACTCTCCTTTATTGTTCTTATGCTATGAGGTAGGTGATTAAACATTTTCTTACTCCTATAGTGAATAGATTTTTGTGTTAGCGAGGATGTGGGAATTGGTAGATCAATTACATGTGAACTTCTGGTATTGAACAAGGAGGGAGCATGAATATTAGAGGAGTACTTCTTCTGCATGAGACACACCGATTCTAAAATCAAGATACAAGGCAAGGTTAAAATACGTCTGTCTATAAAGAATGGTCTGCAAGAGTTCCGTGGACTAAGACCACATAACGACCTTATAGCACGCTTCTGGAGAAGAAATGTGACGTTGAACAATGTTAATGAGCAAGAACCCCAGAAGCAAATGCCATAACTAAGATGTGACTCGATCAAAGAAAAATACACCCGTCTAGCAACCGATTCGCCCAGCTCAGCCTTGACAGTTCTAACAGCAAAGCATGCTGATGATATTTTTTTACATAAATGCTCAATGTGTTTGTCAAACCTGAGCTGATCATCAACAATCAAGCCAAGATATTTGGTCTCCATGCTTCTGCCTATAACAGTATCATCTAGAAAAACATTACCAAGATTACATTTAAAATTCATGATGGATGTCTTTTGAATATTAAATGACAGCCGATTGGAGTCACACCACATTTTGATTCTCGCTAAGTCATCGTTCACCATAGCATTCAGCATGACAGTGTCTTTATGATGCCAAACTATTGTGGTATCATCAGCAAAGGAAGTGCATAGACCACTCTTCACAGCTGCAGGAAGATCATTAAAATATAGTAAAAACAACAATGGCCCCAAAACAGACCCTTGCGGAACGCCGGAGCTAACACTTAGGCTACCGGAAACGCTACCCCGAGAGACAACACTCTGACTTCTCTGAGACAAATAAGAACCAAACCACCTCAGGACAACACCCCTAAAATCACAGAGTTCGAGCTTGCGCAGCAGTATATCGTGACTGACGCAGTCAAAAGCCTTTGTCAAGTCACAAAACACCGCCGCAGCCTTCTCACCATCATTAAGTCTGAGGTATACCTGCTCCAGGACGTTGAAAATGGCATCACTCGTACTTTTCGAAGATTGGAATCCAAACTGATTGCAAGATAATAGCCCATTCTGCTCCAGGAAAACCACCATCCGCTCCTTCATGAGCTTTTCAACTATCTTGCTTAGCGTAGGCAGCAATGATATTGGGCGATAGTTAGAAGGTAACTCCTTCTCTCCTCCCTTGAAAATTGGAATCACCCTGGCTTTTTTTAAAAAGGTTGGGAAATCACCTGCTTCCACTGAATTATTAATGGCATTTGCCAAAACATTTAGGACAGGGTCCGGAAGGGCAAGAAAGATTTTAAAAGAAATATTATCCCAACCAGATGAGGTTTTATTTTTGATACTCAAAAATATTTTTTTTAATTCTTCTGCCGTAACTGGGTTGAAAAAGAAAGAGTTAGGAACCAAAAAACTGCTCAAGGAGGACAATGATAAAGGATCAGGGACTGTTTGTTCAGGGATGTTGCCCCACAGGTGCCCTGCAATATTGCAGTAATATGAGTTGAAGGTGTTTACGTCAATTTCAGCCGAATCATCCTGCATGGATTCTCTTCCCCTCAAGTCATTCACTATACTGCACTATACTTTATACCATGAAGAGTTTGTCTTCCAATCTCAATATAGTTTTTCACTTAACAAATGCGGAAAGTGATATTTTATCGCACGCAACGGCAGTTGACCGAACGACGCGAAGCAAAAAAATTCGGCCGGGCCGTTTAGGGCGGTAAGACAAAGGCACTCTTTCCAGTCTTTCCGCACGTGCTAGATACAAAATCTCCAAAAAAAGGCATTATTGAAATTTCTGAAAGACTGAATTTTTGATTATACCAAAGTCTGCTTTACCGCACATTATGCGGTAATAGTTATTTACCTAACAAATGCGGAAAGTGATACTTTACCGTACGCAACGGCAGTTGACCGAACGACGCGGAGCGGAGTTCGGTCAAGCCGTTAAGGGCGGTAAAGGCACTTTCCGCATGTGTTAGGTACTAAATTTTACCATGAGCATCTACATCTCTAAAAAAAGGCATTGATAAAATTAAATATTGAATCAGATTAATTAATGAAATTAGATTAGATATAGAAATGATCAAAAATCCATTTTCTGAAAAAGAGAGGATTTCTGATTAAAAATATTAAATTTTACCGCACACCGCGCACTATGCGGTAAAGTGCACTTTACCGCACACTTTGTAGTCCACTTTACCGCATACTATACTGTAAAGTTAACTTTACCGCACACTATGCGGTAAAGTGATGCTTTCCATTTGCAAATACGTGCGGTAAAGTGCACTTTACCGCACTTATTTGCAAATGGAAAGTGGCACTCTAGTGTGCGGTAAAGTTAACTTTACAGCATAGTATGCGGTAAAGTGGACTGCAAAGTGTGCGGTGAAGTTAACTTTACCGCATAGTATGCGGTGAAGTAGACTTTGGTATTTATGATTAAAAATCCTTTCTTTGTCAGAAAATGGACTTTTGATCAATTTCCAAATCTAATCTAGTTTCACAAAGTGTAGTTACTAGTTATGAGATAACTAATGGTTAAAACGAAAACAGCATTTCACAATTGACGGTTCAACGTGACACCTTTAGTTAACCAGTAGTTGAATTAACCCAAAGATGCGTATGAGTTAACTATGAGT